AACTACTGAATTAACCCTGTAGAGAGTTAGATATGTCCATGAGCTCTTGCTTAGAGATTAAGATTGGATGTAGGATTAAATGAGGGTGGATAGCACTGTTTGCGGGGCCAAGAGTCTTTTGAAGGGGAGATGGTTGATTTTAACACTTGGCACAAGGTTCTTTTCCTTAATTCTTGGAGCCAACTGAAATCCTAGATATTATATTATTGGACATTGCTGCAGTTTTCTTTGACATTAATCTCTTAAATATTAGCTTATTTGTGCAACTGCAAGTGTCAGGTTGTCACCACTTTCATCCTTTTGCTCTCCCTGCTGCTTGCCTGTTTTGTCCAATTTGGTTACTTTTGAATTGGAATGGGTTTCATCAGTTGACCTTTTATATTTGATATTAGCCTGAGTGAAACTTTAAGAAAGAAACGTCATTCCTCTTTTGAATTTCCTAGAACATTGTGACTCTGCACATATGGTTGTGGGATTTAGGTTGTCCGTTCTAAGGGTTGCAGAGCTTGGTGATTTATTTCTGACTGGATTAACATATCCTACATACTGTGTAATAAGATGTCTCGTAATTGTGCTTTGTTGTTCAGGAAGTTTACTTTGAGCCCACTGTCCTGTGTGGCGAAATTGACAAGATATCAACGTTCAGAGCTAGTCAGGTAAACATTATATATCATTCATGTGTGCTTAACTTATAATGATGTATTTTGGTGCTCTAAATGGTCTTTTGTCTTGACCACAGTTAGAAGATGGTGACATTATTTGCTTTCAAAAATCCCTTCGTGTTGAAAGTACTGAACAATTCCGCTATCCAGATGTGCCTTCATTTTTAGAATATGTGCATAATTTCCAAGTATGCACCCTCAACCTTTTTTTATATGTACAATTTTCCTCTCTCTATGCATGCTCTCTCAATACCGAGGACTGTTGTATTGGTTAAGAAAATTGGCATTTGGACTCTTCAACAATATGATTTACCTTTAAAGACTGAAATGAACTTTGCATTGTCGTATATATGGTAGGTTGTACACTTTCGGTCTCTGGAAAAACCAAAGGAAGATGATTTTTGTGTGGAGATGTAAGTTGAAATCACTTGTTAACTTCTTTCTTAGATGCCTTTTTTTACCAGCAGTATATGCTGAAAGAATCTTTATTGTCTTTGTCTTATGAATGTTAAGGTCAAAGCTTTGTAAATATGATGACGTTGTTGAAAACGTAGCTCAGCAACTTGGTTTGGATGATCCATCCAAAATTAGGCTTACAGCTCATAACTGTTTCTCGCAGCAACCTAAGCCTCAGCCTATTAAGTATCGAGGAGTTGACAGTTTGTCTGATATGCTAGTTTGCTACAATCAGGTAACGATCAAAATGTCCTAAGTTATGTGGACATTAACCAAAAGGAGTAACTGAGAAAAAGTTAAGCCCTTCTTTTCTTTTTTCCCTGACAGGCATCTGATATTTTATACTATGAAGTATTGGACAACCCTCTTCCAAAATTGCAATGTTTGAAAAGCCTGAAAGTAGAATTTCATCATGCTACTAAGGATGAGGTGAGTATGATGATGATATCCAACAAGTTACAACCAACGATGTCAACTTTTCTTTTAATGCAACAAAATTTACTCTTCCCTGATTTCAGGTCATTATTCATTTTATCAGGCTACCAAAACAGAGCACTGTAGGTGATGTGCTTAAGGATCTCAAAACAAAGGTACTCTTTTTGTACTATCATGTGACCAAAACATTCTCTACGACTGGTTTCAAGTTCCTTTATTATCTTCTTATTTTGCTCAATAGGATTTAATCCCTAAGTTGTTGGGTTCTTAAGAGTGAAACTAATAATCCTTGGTGCTCATTTGTTTTTTTTGATTTGTGATTGTGTATCATATGTTGCATCCTGGTGCAGGTCGAGTTGTCTCATCCTAATGCAGAACTCAGGTTGCTTGAAGTTTTCGATCACAAGATCTATAAGGTATGGTTTTCTTTCATTGCTGCTTATGCTCCTCTCAATAATACCCAGAATGAAAGTTTGAAATAAAAAAATTGAAGTACTTGTTCACTAGTTCAAAATTTTTCTTTGTTTCCTTTGTGCTTTAATCATGGTTTCTTTTCACCAACCACATTGTATACCATTAGCCATGCTCCTTTGATAAAGTGGTGGCACCAAGTAGCAAATCCGTTTCCCCTACCCCAAAAATTGTACTATTTCAAAAAAGAAAAAAAAAATTTTTTTTTAAAGTTTTCCTTTTTCTCCTTTTCTTTTCCATGAACCCTTTTTCTTACTGTTATACAGCCCTTAATGTTCTTCTTTCACATCCAATCAGATTTTCCCACCCAATGAGAAGATTAAGAATAGAAAGGATCAATACTGGACATTGCAGGCAGAAGAGGTCAGTTTCTTTGTGCTTATTTAGAAATATAGATATTCCTTGGTGCTATCACCATGAAGAAGCAATCCAATAATCATTTATAGTTTTTAGTTAATTTGGTTTGTTTTTATAAATGTTCTTAGTTGCTGCTTACTTTGAATTTATTTTTCAATGTCACAGATTCCAGAAGAAGAGAAAAATCTTGGTCCTAATGATTGCCTTATTCATGTATACCACTTTACCAAAGATACAGCTCAGAATCAGAAGGTAACAAACTCCATATAAAGTTTTGCATTTTCCACCTTTTCTATTTGTTTCCCATTTTGCATTGAAAAAATGGTCATTATTATGGTTGTTAATCTCTGTAATTCCCTGGTTTTGGCAGCAAATTCAGAACTTTGGGGAGCCTTTTTTCTTGGTAATACATGAAGGTGAGACTTTGGCTGAAATAAAACTGCGAATACAGAAGAAACTGCTAGTTGAAGATGAAGAATTTGCAAAGGTATGTCCTCATTTGTCAATTCTAAGGTGTGGAGCATGTGTTTGTCAAATATGAGGTGATCCTGGCTGCCACTCCTCACCCTCCCAGAAGGAAATTGAAAATGAAAGGAAATTTTGCCTTTCATGTGGTTGATTAAATTTAGTTATGCCTTTGAGATGTGTAAAGTAATTTTTATGTAGTCCATATTAGATGTTTAATGTTCTTTAAGGTATCTATTCTACTAATTGGCAAAAATTATTTGTTTTATCCTATCATTATATCAGTGGAAGTTTGCATTCTTATCACTTGGCCGTGGCCGTCCAGAATATCTTCAAGATTGCGAAATTTTGTCCAGTCGTTTCCTGGTATGGGTGTAGATTTTCACCTTCATGTGTATTGAGAATTCTTATTATCTATTTCATCTAAAGCTTTCACTGAGATTTTACACTGGTGTGTTTCCCTCTCCTTAGAAAAGAAATTTGTTTGGTGCTTGGGAACAGCATCTTGGATTAAAGCACCCTGACAATGCTCATAAGAGATATTATACTGCTAATAAGGTAAGGTGCTTTTTCTTCCAAATATATGTATTAGAACTACTACCAGAATATATAGCCCAGTTTAAGACCTTGAAGACAATATACTGAAAAAAACCTCTTGTCAAACTCGGAAGGAGCTGTCTCATATTGATATTCTCCATCACTACTTTCAGAATCACCACACCTTTTTGAGTTAAAATCTACACTTAGTGAGCTCTCAAGATATCTACCTCATTGCATTGGATGAACATCATAGCTCTCAGCCTAGTTTTTCTTCTCTGTGATTTCATATCAAATCTTCCAATTATTGTCTCAGGAAAGGTTGAAGAAAGAACATGAAGAAAAATTACTCAAAAAGAAGAAGGCAGAAGCACAGCTTTCTACCATAATAAAGGTTGGCTTTTTAAAGCATATATTGAGCAACTGTTTTCGAGCATTGTTGACCAATTTTCTTATCTGCTTATATTGTTCTAGGTTGCACGAGATGAAGATCTTGGAGAGCAGATTGGAAGGGACATTTATTTTGATCTTGTGGATTATGACAAAGTCTGGAGTTTCCATTTTGAAAAGCGGACACCTTTTAATGTTTTTAAGGTTCAACCAAAGCAACTGAGTGCTTGCTTGTTAATTAATTGGCAATGACCATGATAGCGCTTTTGGATTTTGTTGATTTTCTTTCCACCTGCACCAGGTCTCAAATGATTAACTCATATTGGAATTTCTTATCTGATTTAAAAAGGCAGACACCTTTCAATGTTTTTAAGGTTCAACCAAAACAATTGAGTGCTTGCTTTTTAATTAATTGGCAATGACTATGATGCTGCTTTTGAATTTTATTGGTTTTCTTTCCACCTTCACCAGGTTTCAAATGATTATGTCATATTGGACTTTCTTATCTGATAATTCATTATTACATATATATCTGTATTCACAGCTCTTCCCCTAGAGTCTTGACTTTGTTGATAATTTATTATTTTGCATGCAGGAGGAAGCTGCTAAAGTGTTTGGAATACCTGTGCAATTTCAACGTTTTTGGCTGTTGGCTAAGCGTGAAAACCATACATGCCGCCCAAAGCTACCATTGACACATCTTGATGAAACACGACCTGTAAATACACTTTGCTTTCTTTGTTATTTGCAATGGATTGAACCTTTTGTTCTAGTTCTTTTCTCAAATTCAGTGGTGTGTGGCTCAGTTGAATTTAACTGAGCACCTTTGTCCAAGCTCCAGAGTGTCTGTCTCTTAACTTTAGTCTCTTGCCTTCCAACCTGTCTCTCTTTCTCCTTTCTTTTGGCATTTTAGATTCAGAGTTTGCGAGATCTTATTTTTTAATTTTGACCTTGGAGTTGGTTTTTTTTTTTAAAAAAAAAAAAAAATTGTAATGGAACATTTGATAGTTTTGTAGACTATTTTCATTGTATTTAATGCTAGGGTTTTCTGCCGTGCTTGTTTGTAAGCAGTATTTAGGTGTTAAGTGGTTCTTAAAGTTAATCTGAGCACTATTTTTTTAACACTTTCAATTACAGTACTATATTTTCTTCTGTTTCGTTCTTGTAAAATGACTGCTCTGTTTTCACTTAATAACTCTTTGCCTAATCATGAAAGATGAACTCATATTTTCCAACTCTAGCTAGGAACACTAGTGGAGTTTTCAAATAAGGCTCAGAGTGCAGAACTGAAGTTGTTCCTGGAAGTTGAGCTTGGACTGGTAATCTTGCTTTTGTTATTCAGTCATCATTTTTCCATCTTACACATCAATTTCCTCTCCAGAGCTGTTAGTGATTACAAGCATTGTCATTCAGGATTTGCAGCCAATTGCTCCACCAGATAAGGCAAAGAAAGATATTTTGCTTTTCTTCAAGCACTACAATCCTGAGAAAAAAGAGCTACGGTAAAGCTTCCCTGTTGTGTGTCTGTTTCTGTATAATTCTATGGCTAGATACAACATGCTTACTCAGGATTCTCTCTGTCTGTTATATCAGTTATGTTGGAAGGCTTTTTGTGAAGCGTACTGGAAAGCCAACAGAAATCTTGTCAAGATTAAATGAAATGGCAGGCTATTCTCCAGATGAAGAGATTGATCTTTTTGAGGTTAGTGTAAAATGATACTTTTGTTGGTGTGATGTGTCTTTTCATTCCAAGTCCTCAACTATCACTTTTTAGTCATTTCATTTGGAGAAGACCTATAACCCGGAGAATTAACCTTGTAGAGAGTTAGATATGTTCATGAGCTCCTGCTTAGTGATGGCACCGTTTGCATGGCCAGGAGTCTTTTGAAGGAGAAAGTTGATTGAATTTAACACTTGGCTCAAAGATGTTCTTTTCCCAAAGTTCTTGAAGCCAACTGAAATCCTAGTCTTCCTAGATATTATCTTTTTGCCCATTACTGCTCTTTTCTTTGACATTAATCTCAATTTGAATATTAGCTCTCTTTTCGGCCCAAAATAAATTTAGCTTGCCTGTTCTGTCCAATTTGTGTTATTTCTGGATTGGAGTGGCTTTGATCAGTCGACCATTGACAATTGATATTAACCCGGGCGAAACTTTAGGTGGGAAAAGTTCATCTTTTTAATCTCCTAGAACATTGTGACCATGCACATATGGTTGTGCGATTTAGTCCATCAGAAGGGTCGCTGATTTTGGTGATTTATTTCTCACTGGATTAACATGTCCTACATGCTGGATAATAAGATGTTTCGTGTCTGCTTTGGTGTTCAGGAAATTAAGTTTGAGCCCATTGTCATGTGTGAGCCAATTGACAAGAAAATTACATTTGGAGCTAGTCAGGTTAACATCTATTTATCATTCATGTATTATTGTTTGGTAACTTATAATGATCTAACTTAGCACTCTAAATGTTCTTTTGTCTTGACCACAGCTTGAAGATGGTGACATTATTTGCTTTCAAAAGTCCCTTCCAGTTGAAAGCACTGAAAAATTCCGCTATCCAGATGTTTGCTCATTTTTGGAGTATGTACATAATCGCCAAGTACGTGCTCTCAATCCTTTTCAAGTTTTATATAGATGTACAGTTTTCTTCTATATATGCTCTCTCAATTCTGAACACTGTTATATTGGCCAAGGAAATTTAACACTTAGATTCTATCGCCTTTGATGGCCTGAAATGATCTTCGCATTGTTGTTTGTATGGTAGGTTGTACACTTTCGGTATCTGGAAAACCCAAAGGAAGATGATTTTTGTCTGGAGATGTAAGTTGAAAGCCTAAACCTTCCTCGTGTTAGTTTCTGTCTTGATGTCTTCTTTCATGAGAAGTGTATATGCTAAATGAATCTATATGTATTGTATTTGCCTTATGAATGTTAAGGTCAAAGGCTGATACATATGATAACGTCGTTGGAAAAGTAGCTCAGCAACTTGGTTTGAAAGATCCATCCAAAATCAGGCTTACAGCTCACAACTGTTACTCTCAGCAACCCAAGCCACAGCCCATTCAGTATCGTGGAGTGGATCGTTTATCTGATATGCTTGTTCACCATAATAGGGTAATAGTTGAATGCCCTGACTTATGTGCACCTTACCTAAAATGGACAAAATGCAGAAAAAGTTAACCCTTTCTTTCTCTTTTTTCTTGTGACAGTCATCAAGTATATTATACTACGAAGTATAGGCAAATGTCACCAAGCATTGAGGTGGCATCCGCACCCTGCAGCATTTGGCTATTTATTTTGCTGTTGTCTTCGAGTATATATATACACATCTCTATGTTGAACAAACCTGACATGTACTGCTTTCTGTTCCCCTCTGGGAAACCTCCAAGAACTGAAGTACCTGCTTGGTGTGGTTTAGATAAATCAATCATGAAAGTAGAGAGTGATTTCTCTATGCTTTTATAATGTCAAAATATAACATTGCTAGATGTTTTAACAAATTTCTTATATTAAGAAAAATTAGTTGTACCTATTCCTTTAGAAATCTTGATGATTGCTGCCAACATTTGTCTACCCTTCCATTTTTGCTTTCGTCTATCATCTGTCCGTCTGTTCCCATTGACAGAAAAATGGATGGAGGACCGACTCATGTATAGACGACAAAGTATGGATGGACAGATGAACGACAGATTTACGTAAAAAAGTATGGATGGATAGATGAACGAGAGACTTACGTATAAACATTTAGGCATTTTGGAAAGTGTTGAGTTGTAACTGTAGAGATTTTTTTTTGTTTTTTGAACAATTTTGTAAGGAGTTGAATTCAAATTGTTATTCAAGAAAGGGATATGCACTTAAATGTGACTTGATGTCATTAGACCCGAAAGTTTAAGTGCATAATTGTAGAGATTTTTAATATTTTGATATAATAAAAATATATGAAATATATTTAATATGTAAAGTTAGTATTTATTTGTTTACTTTGCAAAAATTAAAAGAAAATTTATTCTTAAATTATGATATTTTAATAGAGAATTAGGATAAAAAAAATTTAATTCATATTTTAAAAATAAGTATTTTAAAATTTTAATAAAAATTTATTAAAATAATATAATTTAAAAATATTTTTTAAATATTTTATATATTTTTAAAATAATAAAAAAACTAAAAAAACTAAAAATTAAGGTGCCTCCAAACGAAGCCTTAGGTATCAACGGACAGACGACCTGGTGCAATTTTTATTTTATTTTATTTAGAGTTAAAGGAGCCAACGAATATTGTTCATCCACAAAAAGAGAAAAAACGAAGCCAACGAATATTAGTAGTGGGCTCCGCGTCCTAAACTAGAAATATCAACAGCCAAGAGCCACTACGCAAGTGAAATTAAATCATAACCGTTTATCAGAAAAAAAGGGGACATACTATTTACCAAAAAAAAAAAATTACAAACCCTAGTGCCGTTATGTGCTTGTTGCTTTCCTCGCGCTGGAATCAAGCAATCCTTAAATTGTTCGTATCTTTAGGGGCTTGGAAATTAGAATTGTAGATAAGTCCCCTTCATGGCGAAGAGGAACAGGCGAAAAGCAGCCAAGCTTGACAACGAAGAGGTCGAGGAGGACGAATCGGGACTATCGAATTCAAAATCAGTTGTGTATTTGGGCAGTAGCGATGATGATGAGGCGAATGAGGACCTGAGCTTGAAAATCGTGGAGCAAGCTCTGTTAAAGCAAGCGGCGAAATTGAATGAAAGTCGAAGCGCTGAGTTTGATGTTCAGAATGACGTTACTGTGGTGGATCTGTCCTCTTTATCGTCGCCGGAAAACCAAATTGCTGCGGCTGGTTGTACAGGTGCTGTTAGGGAAGAAATTGGGGATATGAAGAGTGATAGTATTGTTAATAAGAAGAAGAAGAAGAAGAAGAAAACGAAAAGCGAGAAGGTAATTCATCAAAAACTGAGAAGGTTGACAATTTTATTTTTCCTCTTTTTCTGTTATTTTTTTTATCGCAATGGGTACAATAACTGTTTGTTTCCCAGGAAATTAATTTTATTGGGACGTTGCCCGCAAGTGTTATTTTAAATTTTTTAAGAAGATTTATTTATTTATTTTTTTCTGAAATTAAGTAGTTTTGGCACTCATGTTTGTGCAAAGAGTGACCACAGTTCCTCTGCGCTCCTGTTTTGTGAGACAATGCATGAAAATATAATTCCTTTTTGAACCTCTTAAGCACTCCCTGTGTTGGACCGATGATCTTTTTTTTTTGAGATTAATAGTGGCATGAATTGCTATCACGAAAATTGGTGTATTGTGTATATGTGTTTGCGTGGATGGCTGTGTAATGTAGCATAATTTTCTGTAAGAAGCTAATTAATACAAAACACTTGTTTGTTAATACAATTGTGATTGTGTTGCTGAGGCTGGATGTTACTACATAGATTTCTGTTTAACTTATTGATTAAATTTTGTTGAGTTGCAAATTTGAAAGCTTTTATAGGACTAAATTTGGATTAAAAATCCTGAATCTTGTATGTGACAGAACTCTTGCTTAGCAGGTGATTGTTGCAAATGATGAAGAGGATTCTCAGAAGGTTGAGACAGTTGATAAGGTTGGAGCGCCAACAACGAACACTGTTGAATATGTAGACCCCAAAGCTGAGGATATATCTGACAATATTGTGCTTCGGAAGCTTCTAGTGAGTTAAAATGTTTGCTCTGAACTGCAATTTTGGAAAAAAAAAAAATGGTCTCTGTCTTGTCTTGGCTTATAGCGTCTCTTATATTTAATCTATCAGCGGGGACCAAGGTACTTCGATCTGCCAGATAGTGGTTGGGAAACATGCTACAATTGTGGTGAAGGAGGGCACATGGCAGTGAACTGTCCATCTGCCACAAAGCGGAAGAAGCCATGCTTTGTTTGTGGGAGTCTGGACCATGGTGTGAGGAAGTGCTCCAAGGTAAGAAAGAGATAGTCTTAATCCAATGTTTGGAATTCTGAAATGACCTTCTTTCAATTTCTTCCTACTTGGAGTGAGCCAAATGGATCTAAATTTAACGAAGAAGGGTGGACAAATTAATTTTTCCACCCCAGTAGATGAAAATGCTTGACCTACAATTACTACTTTTGCAGGCACATGACTGCTTTATTTGCAAAAAAGGTGGTCACCACGCAAAAGACTGTCCAGATAAATACAAGAGTAGCTTTAAGAATGGTAAAATATGTTTAAGATGTGGAGATTCTGGGCATGATATGTTTTACTGCTCAAATGATTATTCACATGATGATCTTAAGGTCTTTTTCATGCTAGTTTCTTTATTTTCAACTTATACCTTTTTGCTTCTTTGGTTTATACTTTAAAATTATCAATATAACTATACAACATTGTTATTCTTATTTTCAAACAGGAAATACAATGTTATGTCTGCAAGAGTTTTGGCCATTTGTGTTGTGCTAATTTTGTTGACACTAGTCCTAGAGAAGTTTCATGTTACAGATGTGGCCAACTAGGTCATACTGGTTTGGTAATTTATTCTGAGTTTTCCCAGTGTCCATTTTCATTCACTATGTCTGTTGGCCAAGTTAGAGAAGGGGTTGCTTTTGCAAATTTAGCTTCCCTCTATTTTAGAAATCTGTCTGTTTAACATGGAATCCATTTCACAGTCATGTGGCAAGTCACGTGGAGAAACTATGGAGGCTACAGGTATTGTGTCACCAAGCTTATGTTACAAGTGTGGTGAAGAAGGTCACTTTGCACGTGAATGCGCTAATTCTTCTAAGGTGATTTTTTTAGTTAAATGGAAGTACATAAATGTTGAATACCAATTTCTAAGACTGATAAATTACTGTCCTAATTCATTATTTGTTTGAAAGATTTATCCTTTGCACGCCTTCACACTACCCCTGAAGGTTTGCTTCTTTTAAATTTTGTCTGCCTCTATCTTCGTATTCTAGGTTTTAACATTGGGGTTTCATTTGTGCAGGCACGTGGCAAGTCATTTGGAGAAATCTGGGGAACAACTGACGTTGAGTCACCTCGCTCATGCTACAAATGTGGTGGTGTTGGGCATTTTGCACGTGAATGCTCAAATTCTTCTAAGGTAATTTCAGTAGGAAGTGTTGATTGGGCAATTTCTTGTGCCTTTTGGTTATTTATATTTTATATTGTCAATCCCATTGGAGCTAAGGTTTCTCATTGATATGTTAACTGCATTGTCTACTTTTTTGCCTTTATGCAGGTTGGCAAGAGGAGGCACGATAAAGAAAATAAAAACTACCTGGTTTTCATGTCTGCCCCTTTTGACAATGACAAGGCTTTTCTTAAGAAGAAAAAGGACCACGATGAAGAGAAGGAGCTCACAACACCACTGAAAGGGAAACATAGAAGGAACAATCAGACATCTCCCTCAACACCATCTAGCAAGGGCCAGATCTTTGCATTAACAGCTGGTGGTCACCTCTCTGGTTCTCAGTCTTCTAAAATGAAGATTTCTTATAGCTTTTCAGCATCAAGGTTTAACAATAATGGAAGTAGTGAGAGAACCAGTAATTATGATTGGTGATAGGATTGGTTCTCTAGGTATGGGGAGGCTGTTGTAAAGGGTGCAGCAGCAAAAAGTTACTGCTTGCCATGTTCTCCTTGCAGATGAACCTGCAACCTTGTATTGTAGCAATCTCTATGGCATTCTTTTGTTATTTTGGCCAGCAACCTCAATGGTAGTTCAAGTTATCAATTGATTTTAATTCAATTAGTTATTTCTCCTTGTTTATGACCTCTTTTTTATTAGATTCATAGATTGTATTCATGATGCACGGACGTTTATTTATTTATTTATTTTCTCCCAATAAAAAGGAAATCCAAATGTATATCTGCTTTTAACTCCATAATCCCTTTGATGAGTTCTGAAATGAGAGACTCTGAAAAATGGAAATGGAAAGGAATCTGACTCTTGCTCACAAAAGTATATGCTCTTTTATACTTATTGGGGAACAATTTGATGGTTCAACCAATAAGTGGCTCCTGAATGGCCAGACAGAAATCTTTTCTTATTCAACTCTAACAATGAAATTGTTTCTAATATTTTCCTCAATTCATAAGGATAATATACAGATCCATGGTCAAAGCTTAAGAAGCCAAAGAACAATATAAAATAGAAGAATGCTGAAAGATTATTCAAGAGAAATACCTAGTCACATGTATGTTGAAACTTATAAAGGAAACCATACCTCTCTTCTTGACATAAAACCTCATGTAAAGACAAATTTATAAGCCAATTTAGATAGTACATTCAAATCTGAATAATTTTATAATAAAACTAAAGTTTTTGAATTCAAATCATTCAAAACATGATGACAATTTGAATATGATTATGGGAGATGTGAAGAAAATCATCAAGCATGGGCTTATGCAAATTCAGCCCACAAAAGCATTTATTGGTGAAGTTGGTGAGTGCTTTAAAACTTGGTCATTTAACTCATGGTATGTAGAAATGGTTTTAGTTTTAGCCTAGGGCACATTTACATTGCCCTCTCTTGTGTCCTCACTAATCCAAAATCCAAATCCATTGATTTCTTTCCATCCAAATCCATACCCTGCCTAAATCAAAACACTGGCCCGTTGAAACTCTTCTACTCTTAAAAAACACCCTTCTTTCACCTCTCAACTTCTATTTCCCTCCCCCTATTCGGTTTTCCAATCCTCTTCTTCACCAATTCAAAACCCTAATTCTCTTTTTTCTATTTCCCCTGTTCTTCACATAACAAACTTCATTGGGTCTTAACGCTAATCAACACTAGAATCAAGAGTGAACCCATTTTCCCATTTGCTTTGCGAATGATCTGACCACGGTTTTTTTTTGTTCTGTGGTCTAGTTCGGCGCAATGTCGGAGGACATGCTCATACATTTTTCTTCGAATTCATCTAACCAGTCAGACAACTCTCTGCCCACCAAAATCGCGAAGCTCGAAGCTCGCATGGTGGGAAAGGCGTCTTCAGCTGCTGCTCAGCAGCCTCAGGTGCAGCTGCAGGCACCGCAGCAGCCCGCATGGTCCTCTGTTTCTTCTGCTACGAAATTTGCTGCTACAGAGGAGTTGCCCGAGGCTTCTATATCTAGTGATTCCGACGATGAGGTAAGACTTCATTCAATCTATTGAAACTTGATATGCATCCATCCTGAGTAGTTGTAATTGTGGTAGTGGTTGAGTTTGCCTGATGAGTGTTGATTAGTGTGGTTTTTCCTAATCCATTGTGGTTTGAACATTAGAGTAAATTTGGAATTTTGGTTTGAATTAGTATATTGTTGATGATGCCTATGGCCATAAAAATTTGAGCTTGCAAGGATACTTTTGCTGAATTAAAATCAAGTTGTAAAATCTAACCGGAGATAATGTGGGAGAATCCTGCCCCTTGAAGATGATATAATGATGCACATTAAGGAAGCCGGTAAACTAGCCCTGGCATTCTCGTGCAAAATTAAATTTCAGAATGAGAGGTATCGCTGGAGGAGAAACTTAAGACTGAATAACGGTTATGCAGCTTGGAGTGATTAAGGGGCAGCAGTATAGATTCTATGATTTGTCACTAATTTTCAGTTAAAACTATACCGTAATAATTTCCGGTTAACAAATTCTTCTCAGTGTGTCCAAGTGGGATTTCGTTTGGGTGAAATGTTTTCCATACTTGCTTGCATATAAATTTTGTCATCATTTGGCCAATAAATGTTCATTTTTAAACCTGTTGTCCTAATTATTGTTGGAATCCCCTCCCTTTTCTCCACAATGAGGTGCAAGGCTTATTGACATCCATTGGATTTTTGGATATGGATGATGATTTTTATGTCTTATTTTACCAGAATGGAGGGGAGTTTCTAATACAAGCCAACACTCAGAAGCGTAAGAAAGTTAATCAAGAGGACAACTCCATAGTTTTTGAGGTATGTTGGTCAATTAATCTGGTGCATGTTTAGAAATATTTTCCTTTCTTTTAGCTGGATTGTGGTGTTAATATATTTCTTAATGAAAAATAAAATTTCCCTTGAAGTGTTTCTTTTTTAGAAAAAGGAATATTGATGCTTTTTTTGAAAATCGAGCAGCCTGTGGCTGATAGGAGGCAAAAGATCACAGAAGCCACTGATACAAAGGCAAGTTCTGATGGAAATAGGAGAAAACAAGGCCGTGGTAGGGGGAATTCTGTTTCAAGCAGAGGCCGTGGTTCTAAAGTTAATGACCAGGCTAGATCACAAACATCAGGTTCAACAGTATCTCCTTCAAATGGTCAGCTTGAGAACTCATACCAAAAGGTGTGCTATTACTGACATTGAATGCTATGAATTGTTTTCTCTATCTTAAGTAATGATAATCATCATCCAGCTGTGTCATAACTCTTTACTTATTGCAGTAATGTTAAACTATAAAGAGTTTTATGCTAATAGTCATGGGCTTTTAGACTTAAACTTTGCTCTTCTTAATCAAATTTTCAACCAACAAAGGGCAGTGAAATGTTGAAATTACTTTTTCTTCTTATTGTAGGATGGTAGATTTAAGGAGCAGCTCTGGAGTGATGACCACACTTCACTAGAGGTATTGTTCAAAGCAAAACTTCCCATCTTTTTTAACTTTTTGAATTTCTTTTGGAGGATGATAGGTGAGGACGTAAGTATACTGCTCTTTAAACTAGAAAATTTAGGGGCAGAAAGAAAGAGCAATAGCTTCTCCAACTCATTTTCTCTAGAAACCTATATTTTACTTACCATTTTTTCATCTAGACTATTGATGGTTCTACTTCCTTATTTTGTTAATTAAATTAGGAGGAGGTGTTATCTTTACGAGCAAAAGTTGCAGCCTTGGAGGAGGACCTGCGTAAATGCCGTGAAGAAGCCTTTGACTATCAAAATCTTTGCCGTCAGCTGGAAAAGGTTTTTAAATTATATATTGCTTTATGGTTTTTGCTTATCTTTGGTTTGTAGCCCTTTCTTTATTTCTCTTTTGGTGTTCATTATGTTCTGTGCAGGAATTGAAGGAGCTTAAAGACTGCGAACAACAAATGAAGCCAAAGGTGTGTGCTTTCCTCATGGATCTTGCTTTGTGACAAGGTCCAACATCTATTTATTCGTTAGCTTTATCCAAGTCCTTCTTACATCTTTAGCAGATTTGTGGTTTAGTATGAAAGATCTGTTGGGTTTTAGTGTATTTTATTGGTTCTAGAAGGAAATTTGTAAAAAATATAAGCTCTTATAAACTGAAGCCAGGAAATGATTCAAAGAAAGATATCTATTTTCTTCCTATATTGCTCGTTACTTTTACCCTTAAAGAAAATAAATAGAGAACAAAGTAAAAGAAAAAGACGGAAATAATACTCACTAAGTATGCTTGTGGCACTCTGATGTGGCATTTCTGATTCTAGTCCTCCTGTCTGATCCAGCGAACAAAAATAATATCTGATTTGCTGATAGCTGTTTCAAAAGCTGAGAGACAAGAGGCTAGGATGAAAGTACGTCAGGATTCCTTGAGATTTGGAAATGTTGGTGTAATCAGGTAAGTAAAGAAGTTTTGATCTTTTGCTTAAAGTTTGTGTAATATTGAGTGAGATAAAAAGAGAAATGGAAGAAATTTTGAAAAGAACATTTAAAGAACTGTAGAGTGACAGCTGAAAAGTCATGACTGTTAACATATCTGACGAGATGAGACTAATGTGTAACTGGGGATATAATTTAGTTGAGAGGACTCATCTTTCGCAACATGCCATTTAAAGATTTATTGCTTGAAGTTAATTACAGGGTGCAAAAATCATGAGTCTGATTCCTTATATAAAGGGGCAACAATTAGGAAAAAAGAAATGAATGCTACCACTGTGTCTAGAATTAATGAAGCAACTTAATAGTTCTTTTTTTCCTTAAATTTTGTGTTATAAGGGTCACGTACAATCTCATTGTACATAAAATATCAATTTCTTGATTTATGGTTTGATCATGTTTACTTTTGCATTTAGAGCTGGAACTGTCATATCTGAGACATGGGAGGATGGGCAAGTACTTAAAGATATAAATGCTCATCTTGTAAGTTCGATTGTGTTTCTCTGTGAACTATTATTTCTTGTTTTATTTCACTAGTATTTACCATTTAGTTTTAACTAATTATTTGTATTGTGATACATTTTGTAATGCCAATATGGAGGAAATATTAAGTCCCTTGGATGATGAAGATCTTAGCTCCAATACTGCAATTGTTGCTTTTTTTGTTTTCGTTTCTTTTTTCTTCCTCTTATTAGTTATTTCGTTATTATTCTATTTACTCACGCAAACGGCACAAGTTCAGCTGATGTTATAGTAGTTTGCTTTCTCCATGAATATCTTCCCTTTTTTTTTTCTTTTTTTTTTTCAATTTTCCTTTTGTCCTGAGGTCTTGCTTTCTCATATTAATTATTACTTGTGCTGTAAACCGTGACTTCCAAGCAAGTTTAATTTCATTAACCCTCATCTCTGATTATAACACTTGAGTTCTTTAACTTTAAGGATTCTACTTAGTCTCCTCTTCTTCAGTTTCTAGTTAATCAAAAAGTATATATAATTAGAAGAACTTCTACATGTTATTAATATTGGTTCGGCTGATACTCCTTTCTTTGCCTTTTCTTTTAGAGACAATTATTAGAAGCTAAGGAGGCTGTTGAACGTCAGAGGAAATCTTTGAAGAAGCGACAATCTGGTAAAGCATAAGTGCTAACTTTCTATGATAATAATGTTTAAGAGTTCTTATTTTCCTACTCTATTAGTTGTGGAAGTTCTGAAACTGTGGTCCAGAACTATACAGATATCAATTTTGGAATAACGGTCATTACTACTGAAAGATTTTAGCAACTTGGCATGCTTTCCCTCAGCCATCTTTTACACAATGACATTCACACACAACTTTGAGTAAACCTCTCAGACACTTGCTTAGGTCTTTAATACTAACAGCAGTTATTTGGTGCTTGAAGACAAGGGTGATGGGAATGATGCTGAATCAGGAACTCAAGAAGAGGATTTTCTGATTCAGGATGAGATATATAAATCTCGTATAGCAAGTATTAAACGTGTAAGCTTTTCTCTTAAATAATAATTGTTCCATATTAATGTCTGATATTTGAATGGCTGCAAATGTTGGCATCCATCCTGTTTCATGTATATCTTATCATAAGTTGCATTTTTCCTGTAGGAGGAAGAAACTATTCTGCGTGAGAGAGATCGCTATGAACTAGAGAAGGGAAGGCTTATACGTGAAATGAAGCGCATACGAGATGAGGATGGTTCCCGTTTTAACAATTTTCAGATATTGAACAGCCGATATGCCCTTTTAAACCTTCTTGGAAAAGGAGGATTTAGCGAGGTTTACAAGGTCAGAGCTTAGTCAAGTTTATATCTTTTAAATATTGTGATGTTTGTCCTTCTTAAAGGCCTATTTTCTATCTTTAAAAGCCTAGGTCATACTCCTTTGCTAGTATTGGAAATTGTGAAAATGTATCTTTTTTTAAGTGATTTGAAGTAAGAGATTTCCTGCAGGCTTATGACTTGGTAGAGCATAGATACGTTGCATGTAAGCTTCATGGTCTGAATGCTCAGTGGAGTGAGGATAAGAAACAAAGTTACATAAGACATGCAATGCGGGAGTACAATATTCACAAGACATTGGTGCATCATCACATCGTTCGTCTTTGGGACACTTTTGAGATCGACTCCAATACATTCTGCACTGTCTTAGAGTATTGCAGCGGTAAACAATCTCAACCATATTCTTAACCTTATTGTCATGTCTACTTCATTGGATAAGGAGGACCTTCAAAACCTTCTTGGAGACAATGATTGATTTTGCAGAATATGTCACTGATACCTAACATTCATATCCATTTTGTTCTCAGGAAAGGACCTTGATGCCGTTCTGAAGGCAACACCTGTATTACCGGAGAAGGAAGCTAGAATTATTATTGTCCAAATATTTCAAGGCCTCATTTACTTAAACAAAAGAGCGCAAAGGATTATTCATTATGATCTTAAGCCTGGAAATGTTCTGTTTGATGAGTTTGGTGTTGCAAAAGTTACTGACTTTGGTCTTAGCAAAATAGTAGAGGATGATGTTGGGTCGCAAGGTATGGAACTTACGTCCCAGGGAGCCGGAACTTACTGGTGAGTTGATGCTGTCTGGATTACTTGACTACACAATGGCTGATGCCAATTTTTTTATTTGTCCATATTACATTAGGGATCATAATATGTTGGTTATTCTAAGAAAAATTTAGTTCTGTTTTTGCTCTCTCTTTTTCCAATATTTGGCTTGACTCGTAATTTTTGCTCTGGGGACTTTATCATGATTGGATTTTCTTTTCTAATTTCAGGTACTTGCCTCCAGAATGCTTCGAGCTGAACAGAACCCCTCTAATTTCATCAAAGGCCAGTGACTTTGCTGTGCATCCTTCTTCCTTCCACTTTTTGTTTTCCACTGTAATATAAGTTTTCATCAGTAAACATGTGGAGCAAATTGTCCCAACCTTTTATTGCCCCATAATTTTCCAGTTCTGGTTTCTTTTTATGCATCAAAAAGTTGTCTATAACCTGATTTGCCAGAACTACTTAGGATTTGCATCTCTTTCTTCATCAAGTTGGTTTTTCTCCTTTTCTGACATGTCATTTTTTGGGAAACAGGTAGATGTTTGGTCTGCTGGTGTTTTATTTTACCAAATGCTTCTGGGTAGGCGCCCTTTTGGACACGATCAAACTCAGGAAAGAATCCTGCGTGAAGACACTATTATCAAAGCACGCAAGGTTGAGTTCCCATCAAGACCTGCTGTCTCCAACGAGGCAAAGGTTAGTTCTCTTCTAGTGTGTGTGGAAAAGATCTGTTGTGTTTATTGTTGTGTTCCTATCTTGTCTTTGATTTAGTTACCATCAACCAAGAAATATTTCACAGTTTTCATCCCTCAATATGTGGCAAGTGTTTGGAGGTGTAATGATTCCTCTGTTTAACATTCTTGAAAATTTGCAGGATTTTATTCGTCGTTGTTTGACGTATAACCAAGCTGAGAGGCCAGATGTTTTAACCATAGCTCAAGATCCATATCTGACATATTCAAAGAAGTAAAACTGTACACAGGCACGGTTAAAGTGCTGGAAAATAGAGAAGGGAGTAGAGTATCTCCTTTAAATTCTTTTGCAACTACCCACAGGGATTTTTGTATAGGTTGTAAAGGTTCTGTAATATTAACCCTGCTTCTCATACCCCAACAGTTTTAGAAGTTTCTTTTTGCCTTTTTCCATTTTCTTTTTTCTTTTTTAACCTTTTGTTGTATGAATGTTGTGCATATCGAGATGTTTGTGGCCTGATGAGGAAAATATAGAAACATGTCTTGAAATGTTTCCTCGTCATCTTTTTCGCTTGTTCTTTTCATCCAACTCAAAAGAAATCATGTGTTGTCCTTTGGAGACATCCAATAAAATTGGAACCATATAGGAAGAAAACATGTGCCATAAAAAATTACATAGTAAATTACTTACTAAATCCAGTTGTGTGGTCTTACCCCAAAGCCTTAGCTGACCTTTTCGTCGCATTATAAAGGTTCTACAAATGGGGCCAAAACCGAGTATCCTACAGCCACACATATGTTATCACCAATCTCATGGCACTCATACTTTCTTCTTCGGTAGCAATTCCATGCTCAAAGCCATCTAACAACCAAAGCATGCAATTCAACAGATCCAACACTTGTATTCGTAGTGTTTGTATCAGGTGTGAATCTTCATCCGAGTCAGGATTACCGGAATCAAGAAGAAGCTCAAAGCTCGAAATAGGATCTCCTATTATTGTTATCGAGGCCCCCAAAGTCATAAAGACTGCGGCTTCAGTTCCATGCCTCAGAGCTAATTCTGGCTTAGTCAAGCCTGGTGATGTTGGAAGGTAAGGTAAAAAGTTGTAAACCTTTTCTTTTTCATCTTTTATGTCAATAGATTCTTGCAAAGCCAAATAGAGTCTGTGAATTAGTTTAAACTCATATACATTCCATTGATGCATTATGCGTAACTTGATGTGAGCTTTTGATGCAGAATTGTGTCAAGAAAGCCAAAGGATGTTTGGGCAGTTCGGCTAGCTATCGGCACCTATCTCCTAGACGGGAAGTACTTCAAACCTTTGGAATTTGATGAATGAGCCTGACTTCTTTCCAACACTTGACGCTTTATTCGGTGCCAAACTGCCAATATTTGTTTAGTGCACGTAGTTTCTTCACTTATTCTATAAACTCCAGTAGAAATGAACACTAGTAAAAGATGATTTATGTAATTTTTTTTCTTGATTCAAGTATTACATAAAGGATATTAGTATATCCACTTAATTTTTTTTGTAATATTGAAGAGATGTCACACGTTATGCCTTGTGTTGTTTTTTTCATCAAACCTTATGTCTTGTGGTTGGTATTAATTTATCCAATATTTGAATAGCACGAAGTTAAAAAAGTATATACTGTAATTGGTAGGATAATAATGCATGCACACTCATTATTCACACACTTCGTCACACACTTCGTTACACTCTTCAATTTTCGTTATTTTACTGTTCATTATACTTAACTCCGTTTCCACCTCTTTAACCATCTCCCGACTCACCCAACCTTTTCTGTCCTCACCAGATCCATCTTTCTCCTCACCTCCATCCTTATCCTAACTATCTGTAAGACAATTGCCAACCCTCTCCTAGGTTCCCACCTTCCTTTTTTTTTTTTTTTTTTTTTCTCTTGTTTTTTTTTGGAGAACTCGACCTAGGTTCTCAGAGAACCCAGACTGGGCTCTCTTGGAGAACCCAGATCTGGATTCTTCTCAGAGAACCCAAATCGCGTTCTTGGTGGGTTCTCCTGAAGAACCCAATCTAGGTTCTACGAGAACCTGGGAGAAAAAAAAAAAAAAGAGGAAGGTGGGAACACGGTGAGAGTGAAATAGAGACTTAATAGAGTATGAGAGCTAACGAAAAAAAAAGTACGTAACGGGAGTGTGGTACAGATGAATGTATGCCAATCATGATCCAAAATTAATAAAATCTTCTAAGAGACATTAAAAATTAACTTTATATGATTTAGTGATAAAATTACTTATATTTTTAAGTATACATCAAAATCCGGTGAACTCGTTTTAAAATACTTCTACACAAAGTTTTTAAAATCAAACCAATCATTGAACTGTTTTTGGGTCTGGTTTCCAATTTGATCGGTTCAATCGGTTCAATCGATGAACTGACCAGTCCAAACAGCAAGGGAGAATCTGATGAGAGGGGCAAGCAATTTTGCAATTTTATTAAAATTAAGGGTTAAAATCGGTATAAAAAAGGAATGGTGAGGGTGAAATTGAAAAAAATATAAAAAAGATTGCATGAGAAATTGAACTGGTGATTTTTTCGGTTCCACCGGTTTCATTGGTTTTGACTAATTTTAACCAGTTTTGACATCAAATGGTTTTTTTATGTAAACTGAACCATTTTCATTACCGAATATCGGTCCGATCTGATTTTAAAAACCTTGCTTCTACATTTTATCTTTTTTGTCCTGAGAGAAAAAAAAAAAAAAAAAACCTTGCCTTCTGTTCGCATTCTTTGAAATTAGAATCTTTCCTGCATAGGGTTACTCATCCGCTTCGCAAATAAGTGTAACCCTGGAAACAAACAACCCAATCTTGCGTAATACCACTCCCCTGCGCACCATAGCAAATTTCTTCCAATTTGCCGCCCATATTTTAGTTTTCCCTCTCGATCCCACCACACCAACGGCTTCGCTTTATTTATATTTTCTAAA